TCCTGGGGCGAAGCGGGGAGAGAAAGGCGGATCCCCCGGCAGAACGCGGAGCCAGGCTGGGTCCCCCAAACCCACCGCCCTGAGGTGCCATGCACACCTGCTCCCTCCGAGCTGCCTGCAACCTCCCCGCCTCCAGCACGGCCCCCGGTACCTGGGCCGCGCGCGTGGCCTCTCCGCGGCGTCCGGGGGTCCCGGCCCCGGCCCAGCGCACAGCCTCCGGGCGCGGGGCTGCGGGCAGCGGGCTGAGGACAGGCGAGCCGGCCTCCCGCTCCAGCCCCTCTCCTCTCCGAATCAGCACTGCGCCCGCCCGCCCCGCTCCCGCACTCGGGAAAAGGGGGGGCGGCGGGAGGAAAAGAGGGAGAACCAGAGAGAAAGGACAGGGGGAGGGGCGCCCGGCGCAGGGGCGGCGTGACCCGCATCTCCTGCGCCCCAAGCCGGCCCCGGAGCCATGGCAACCACCGTGCCCGCCCCCCGCCCGCACCTCCAGCCCCCCCCACCCTCCCCGCTGCCCACAGGTCCCCCCTCAGCCCCAGGGCCTCCGGACCCCCGGGGCCTGGCACCCCGTCCCCAGAGGGGGAGGCGGACCGGCGGGGGGACTGCGCCCGCTTCCCCGGAGGAGGGGTCCGGTCCGGAGCCGGGAGGCGAGGCCTGCCCCTCCCCCACATCCCCGCACCCCGAAAGGGCTGTCCAGCCCGGGGGTGTCCGGAATCCCCCCGGAGGGCAGGGGGCGAGGGAGGGGCAGCTGGAGGGGAGACAGTGGGCGCCTGGGGATCAGGGACCCGCCGCCTCCCCCTCCCCTCCCGGGGGACCCCGAGATCTGAAGGCAGCCTCCGCCCCGGGAAAGGGGGTCCCCCCGGGGCAGGGCTGCGGAGCCAGGAGGGACCTGGTCTAGCCCTTTGGAGGCCCCAGCGGGGTGCCCCCTCCCAGGAGTCACCCCAGCCTCCGCGCAGCCGCCCCCGAGCGGGGTTTTGGGGAGCTGGGCGACCCCCCGCGAGCCAGACCCCCGCGGACACACCTGCGTCTCCCAGCGCCGCCCTGGTCCTGCGGGAGCGGAGGGCGCGGGTCCAGGGGGTCCGGGCGGCGCTGCTGTGGCCGCGGCGGAGGGACCTGCTGGCTGCTCCGCTGGCTCCGCGCCTCCCGCGTCCGCGCCGCCCCTCCGCCCCCTCCCGCCGGACGGCGGCCGGGCTCCGCACTCCCCGGAGCGCACACGCGGGTCCCCGCCCGGCTGCGGGCGGAGGAGGTGGGGTCCCGGCGCTGCTGGGGCGCAAGCGGGTCCCGGCCTCCGGCTGCGGCTGCGGTGGCGGCTCCGCGGATGCCAGCGGCGCTGCCAGGCGGATTCCCTGCGCCGCCGCGGGCAGGAGGGCGTGGTGCCGCCCAGAAAGGCGCTGGCTCACCCCCCCCCCCTCACTCCGGGGCGGGGGGCGGGTGGGTGCTCCCCAGGAGTTAATTTCCTCAGGGGCCCGCTCCACAGGCTGCCTAATTTTTTTAAAATATATTTTATTGATGTTTTACAGAGAGGAAGGGAGAGGGATAGAGAGCCGGAAACATCAATCAGCTGCCTCCTGCACACCCGCTACTGGGGATGTGCCCGCAACCAAGGTACATGCCCTTGACTGGAATGGAACCTGGGACCTTTCAGTCCGCAGACCAAGGCTCTATCCACTAAGCCAAACGGGTTACTGGTTATGGCAGGCTGCGTAATTTTAACACGTAGATTAAGGCACCTACCTCTGTTCCCACTTTAAAATGTGTGTGTCCTGATACCCTGTTTCCCCGAAAATAAGACAGTGTCTTATATTAATTTTTGCTCCCAAAGTTGTGCTAGGTCTTATTTTCAGGGGATGTCTTATCTTTCTATGCGCTAGGTCTTATTTTCAGGGGATGTCTTATCTTTCCATGCGCTAGGTCTTATTTTCAGGGGATGTCTTATTTTCAGGGAAACACGGTCTGGGGTTCCTCCATGGTGCTCCCTGGTGTTTTTTTCATTTATTCTGCGCTAATTCGGGCCTATGGGGTGGAAGACAGCCCCTCCACTCATTCTCCATGCCAAAGGCCATTCCCAGGACTCCCTAGGGCCACCAAAAAAAATGTAAATTTTATTTTCGGACTCCAAAAGGATTTGGGGAAAGTGAGAGTCTTTTGAAGAGTAAGGGATTTGCATATCTCTTTCATTTTTTCTCACCATACTCAGATTTTCCAATTGTTCACACAATACCGCTTTTTTAAAACGCTGTTGCACTGAAGTCCCCTTTGAGGGGAAGAGAATCACTGATCTAGTTTTCGCTCCGCCAGGGGAGTGAGGTGGGCTCGGTCTGGCCTTGTTCTCACCGGTGGCATCAAACAATAAGGACATTCAGGGCTGTGAGCCACCCTCGGGGTGTGCTACCGTCCCCGAGGGGCACAGCGTGGGCTCAGGACTCCCCTTCAGAAGCCACTGGGTAAGGTATTTTGAAAACGAGTGAACTTGAGAACGAGTGAATCTTACTAATTGCTGGCCCTGGATCCGGATTCTGCCGGTTCATGTGTGGGCACTGGTCCCGCTGCCTGCCTGCCTTGGCACTGCCAATGCAAGTGAGGGCAGGACTGGCCCTGAGTTTCAATGGCTGCAGGAATCTCTCTGCCGGAGGCATCGTTATTCCCGTGGCATGTTTTCTAAAGTAGAAACAAAGACAAAATACTGACTACAATTTCCAATAGGGGAAATGCTGTGCCTGTAGGAAAACACGTCCAAGGTCAAGGAGACGCCAAGCCAAGCTGGGTTTCCGGAGCTGGCCACCCTCTGCTCTGGGTGTGTGCCTATCCACCCAGCAGAAGCTCAGAGCCCCGCCTGGGGCCGGGCCAACAGGCCGCTCCCAAACAGGCAGCTCCTCTTTTCTCTGCCATTTGTTTGCTTCGAATTAGAGTCATTTAAAAGTCAAGTATTGCCCAAATTGGCATGGCTCAGGGGCTGAGCGTTGACCTATGGAATCAGGAAATCACAGTTGGATTCCTGGTCAGGGCACATGCCTGGGTTGCAGGCTCCATCCCCATTGGGGGGCGTGCAGGAGGCAGCCAGTCAATGATTCTCTCTTACCATTAATGTTTCTGTCTCTTTCTCTCTCTCTCTCTCTCTCTCTCTCTCTCTCTCTCTCTCTCTCTCTCTGTCTCTCTCTCTCTTCCTTTTCCCTTCCTCTCTCTGAAATCAATAAAAATATATTTATAAAAAACAAATATAAAAGACAAGAGTTTATGGAGGACCTACTACTGGTATCTTTGTTCTAGGTGCTTAGTCCAGTGGGAAATCCAATCGATAAGACCAGCTGCTTTTCTTTAAATCAAATATCCGAAATGTATCAGGGAACAGCGTGATACCCATGGCAAGATGAAGGGTCAGTTCTTCAATCTGGGTTTTCCTTTGAAGGGGACACCTACATCCCAGCACCTGACACCGCGTGTACGTGAGGAACCAGGAGCCCCACCCTGAGCCGGGGCCAGCCAGGGGCCGTGCTGAGGCCAGCATGTACACAGTGTTCTCTGTCCCAGGCTGGAGCCTTAGCACAGGAGGGGGGGTGGGGGAGGTAAGTGAGGAACAAAGAAGGGAGGGGGGAGGAGGAAGGGAGGGAGACAGGTCACCAGCCAAGAAAGGAAAACAGTATTTGAGAGGAAGATGGAAAGTAATTCAGCCAACGCAAGGCTGTCCTTGCAAAGGCATGCCGAGGGAAGGCAGAGGACGCCCATCTCCGCCTCCGAGAAACACCTCCGCCGCCGCCCCCCCCCCCCCCCCCCGTGGTCGGCAGCTCGAGGGCCACTCTTTGGCCCCTTGAGGGTGGCTCTCCCATAAAACACTATGGCCTGGGCAAGTCTGTTTTGAAGAAGTAGAAATTTTAAAAATGTGGTTCTCAAAAGAAATTTCAATCCTTGTCCTGTTGATATTTGGCTCTGTTGATTAATGAGTTTGCCGACCGCTGTCACAGCCTTATCTCCGGGGAAAGGGTCCACTTTCCAACCCCTAGGAGCCTCAGCCAGAGGGGACATGTGTGTGTGTGTGTGTGTGTGTGTGTGTGTGTGTGTGTGTGTGTGTGTGTGAGAGAGAGTGAAGGTGTGTGAGTGTGTGTGAGTGTGAGTGTGTGTGCGCGTGCACAGAGCCTGGGGCTGCTAAGCTGGACTCCTGCCTGGGCTCTATGACGATCCCCATCAGGCAGCGCGTGCACTGGGTGCGGGGAAAGGCTGGGCTCTCAGGCCTCACAGGGAAGTGCCGCTGCCTCCGCTTTGAGAGGCCTGGGTTTATCTCTCCCGGTAGAGGCTGGCTGTGCACAATAAACCCATGCTACGCGGCCCCAAAGAGGAGGCGAGGGGGGCAGGTTCAGGAGCAGAAGCAGAAGGTGGGAGAGATAGGCGGTCATCTGGAAAGAGAGAAGTACTGGGGGCCGGGGTGTGCTCAGTCCTTCCTGCTGATGTACGGCCCACGCTGGCCTGAACCGGGGCCTGGTGACATCCCCGGAGCGAGGCCGAGGGAGGAGAGGGGCCTTTGGCAGAGCCAGAGCTGGTGATATGGCATCTTTCCTAGAAAAACTGCTCAGCAGAGAGCCGCAGTTGGGAAATGCCAGTCCTGTCTGGCAGGTCTGACAGGCACAGCCCCGTTGGCTGCTGCGTGATGGAGGGAGGGCAGGCCGCCCCGTCCAGGGAGCTCTGCCACAGCCTCCAGCGACAAAGCCGCGCCTTCGGCTCCCGTGTTAACAAACCGAACCAGAACCTGCTCCGTGCAGAGAGGAACTCACAGGAGACGCTCCTGGCACACAAGAACAGAAGGTGCTTTCTGCAGTCCAAAGGCAACCAATCAGAAGGGAAACCTTGTGGTGTGTGCCAGGGATCGTTAATATGTGCGATCCCGCTTAGGGGCCATGGGCCCAGGTAACTTGGCTGGATGTTCAAGAAGCTAGACAATATAAGGGCCGCTGATAACATTCTCCTTACGGAGCTGTATTCTCAAACCCCATGCTTTCAGCATCTGTTGATTCCCGCAGAGGCCCACGCCCGCCCACCCTGTCTCAAGTCTGTGCTCCCCAGGTTCCCTGGGGACCAGGTTTGGCCCCAAGGCTAAAGGGACAGGAGGGGGATTGCTGTGGGCAACTTCCAGGTCACCTCCTTGAAGGCAAGGTAGATTCTTTCCCGCTTAGCAGCCCCGCAGTGAAGACAGCCTCGTGGTGAGGGGAGCAGAAGGCCCTCCCTTTGCCTGAGTCCCCAGGTGGCCGCACCCGAGCCCGCATATCACCATGAATGTCTCTGGGATCTCTCATTATAGCTGCTTGTCACCCCCCTGATGAATGCCATGGCAATCATATCATCAGGACAACCTTAGAACGGTCAAGGAAAATAAGAATGGAGGCCACAGTGGAATCTGCTGGCTTTTCCTTTGCCCAGCATTTATCTGCATTCCTGCAGCTCAGCCCTAGAGAATGGACCTATGGCACGTGGCCCAGTAGAGGCTCTTCCCAATGCTCCCTACCAACCTCTGGTCCCGGCGTGTGGCACAGGTAAGCACAACCAGCTTTTCCATCCCTGTCTGGGGTGATGGAGTGATGAAAGACATCAGCCTCACAGTGAGGAGTGAGATGGGATCAGGCCGGTTAGGGTAAGGGCCTTGGGGAGGGAAGATGCTAGATGAGGAGGGAATGAGACAGGTGGTCAGGATGACAGCAAGACGGGCACAATGAGGATGGGGGTTAAGGGGCAGAGATCAACCAAAGGACTTGGGTGCATACATATGGGCCTAGCCAATGGCCAGGGACAACGGGGGTTTGGTGGGGCATATCTAGGGAGGGGTTTGGGATGAGAATGGGGGAATAAGGACAATTATGTGAGACCATAATCAATTAAAAAAAAAGACAGGCACAATGCACCAGTCAACCGAGAGATGTCCTTCCCCATGAATCCAAGAGCAGGAACGAAAAGCTGGGAGATGAGGGCAAAGGGAGATTGGCTGGTGCTTGTGTGAAAGAGACCCTAGAGGGCAAGAGCAGGAAATATAAACCCCTAGACCAGTGAGCTTCTGCGGCAACTCATTCTGGGACCCCTCCTGCCTGCAGAGAGCTTTGCTACGTCCTTTCAATGTAATAAACTTCGCTTCCCTTTGCTGACACCTCCCTTGCCCCTGAATTCATTCATCATCAGCTTCTGGAGACAGGGAACCCAACAGCGCACACTCCTGTCTCCAAAGGAGCCAATGGGAGACCTGCTTTGGACTTACACTCGAGCTATCGGAAAAAATGAGGACACAGCAGGTGCGATGTAAGCTGGTGAAGCTGGCTGCGTCCAACGCCCCTTAGGAAGAGCGTCCCTGAGACTAAAGCCACGTGAGGGACAAGAAGAGGAGAGAGGCAGACACTTGGCACTCCCATTTCTCACCAGCTGGGCTGAGCATCCATGGTGTATGAGAAACTGAGTGTGGAATACCTCTTGACCGGGATGAGGTGAGCCAAAATTGCTTTAAGCGGAAGCAGCTTGAATTGGTCATCTGTTTCTTGTGATCAAAATCATTGTTATTCACTACCCATTCCGTAGTTAAGATTATTCTCTCAGGATAGGTTGGTTAGTAAGGGGATGAGCGAGGCAAAGAGTCTCCCTTTCAGGAAATAACCCACCTAACTGGTAGTGACTCCCTGAGATGCTGCGTCCGGAGGGTCCCACCCCTGTGTGCGAATTGATAGAAGGGACAAAGGGGTCTTTTAATGATCCTGGTCACTGATATTATACAAGGAATGGCTTGCGTGTGCTAGGTATTTGCCACCCTTGCTTTAAGACATTCCTCCTTTAACGATGGCATAAGTCTAGACAGGCGAGGGGGAGGATTGTAAAATTATGGTATATTGGTAAATTCTTTGTGGGCACATTTTTATCAGTTTTAAAGAGAGCCATGGACCAATTAGTCCTCTCCACGCAGCATTTAGGGGCCATAATTCATGCTTTCAATTGACTTCTTTTTTTTCCAGCAAAATAAACAAACTAATTAGCAGACAAGCATTTAAATCACAAATTGCTAGCATGTGATAACATTGTGTTAACACCACCCATGACTCAGGTACTGGCACTGCACTGGATTTGTCTTCTTTCAGAAAAACAATATTTCTTTCCATTTATTTAAAGTATAGAAAAAAAAAAAAAAAAGCCTAGCTCTTGCTTTCAACAAAACTGACAAGTCCCCTAAATCAGGAGAAAATGCACATTATCACACATACATAAAAACGTTTTGTATATGAAGATCTGTTTCAATACTCTGTATTTCCTGAAGCCAAAATACAGCATTTTCATAATGTTGCTTTCACCCAGCCTGTTTATCATTAGCACAACTACAGAATTCCACGGAGGTTGTGCAGAAACACTGTCCCAATTAGATAAACATGAGAATCCTCTTCCCAGATCCAAATCTGACATCATTATCTCCCGGGAAGAGATCATTAAATTATGATTTAGTCACAGGCTCTTCCCAGATTAGAATGCAGAGCACTTAACTATTTGCATTGGAAAGCCAAGTGGAATAAAGATAGCCACTTAAAAACAAAGCAGAGGAGCTTAAGATGCACCTCAGCCTGACTGGCTGGCTCAGGGGGGAGAGTAAAGCAGCTTCCTGTGTGGAGTGCCCTTCCTGTGCCCAGAGGAACATGGTTTGTGGTGGGAACGGCGAGGGCGGACTCACTGATCAGTGTCTACTACACAAGGCTACGAACAGCCATTCTTGTTCATCAAACGTGTTTTCTTTGCTTTATTCCCAGTGAGGAATAGATTTTAGGTGGGGGGAGGCAGGCTCATTTTTTGATTCTGATGGTTACGTGAGGACCAGACGCAATAGTTAAGAGGAGGCTTCCCAGTGGCATCTCACCCGCCCTCATGTCAGACCTACCCTCTCACGCAGCAGCTGGATATCGTGAGCAGCAGGAAGGAGATATTTCTAACTTTTTAAAAATTTAATAAATCTTTATTGTTCAGATTATTATAATTGTTTCTCCTTTCCCTCCCCTCCACCTGGTTCCCATCCCACCCTCTGCTCTTACCTCCCCGCCACTGTCCTCACCCATAGGTGTACGATTTTGGTCCAGTCTCTTCTCGTACCCCCCCACCTCCTCCTCCTGGAGAATTATCAGTCCACTCTCTTTCTATGCCCCTGATTCTATTATATTCACCAGTTTATTCTGTTCCTCAGATTTTTAAAAATACAATATATATATATATATATATTATTGATTTTTTACAGAGAGGAAGGGAGAGGGATAGAGAGTTAGAAACATCAATTAGAGAGAAACATCAATCAGCTGCCTCCAGCAAACCCCTCAATGGGGATGTGCCCACAATCAAGGTACATGCCCCCAACCGGAATTGAACCAAGGACCTTCCAGTCTGCAGGCCGACGCTCTATCCACTGAGCCAAATCGGTTTTGGCTGTTCCTCAGATTTTTAATTCATTTGATTTTCAGATTCACTTGTTGATAGATATGTATTTGTTGTTCATAATTCTAACTTTTCCTAATATCCCAATAAGCAGAGATGGTGAACGCAGAATGCATTTCTCTGAGTTTTCAAGGCCTTGACAAGTGCTTGCTGTCCAGTTAAAAGGGGGGACAAGATGGGATAAGTAAGCATCTTTTCTATTCCTAAACCTTTACGAAGTCGAGGACACTATACTTTTGAACATTCATAAAAGTACCACAAATATAATGTACCTACAGGAGATACAATTTTACTCAACTAAAAGCAAACAAGTTTGTATAAACTGATACTATCTGGCAGCCTCGTATGTCTTTAACTGGCCCACCGATTATAAACGTTTAGCTATCGCGCACATCCAAAATGCGCCTCATGACATCGAAGGAAGCATCGTGATAAGCCTTTAGAGAATGTGAAATGCTAACTGATCAGTGTCTTCTGTCTGTCAAATGACAAGCTGACTGTCAAATGACAGCGGGGAGGGTAGGGAGATATGGGAGAGATAAGATATCAACCGAAGGACTTGTATGCATGCATATAAGCATAACCAATGGTCACAAAACTCTGGGGAGGGAGGGCATGTATGGGAGTGGGGAGGGGGGCAATGGTAAGATATGTACAAGTATAATACCTTAATAAAATAATAATAAATAAATAAATAATAAAAAAAGAGAATAGGAAATGCTACTGAAGTGATGAGCATTTGGAGAGTGATTGAGTGCCGTTACGGGGACGGAGTGCCCACCGCAGGGACTGATTCTCAGGGAAGTGACCTCCATTCTCGGTGCTGGCGCCAGGCTTGGAAGGGGGCCCGGGCGGCGAACTTCCCCGAAAGTCGGTGGGCACAGCAAGGCAGACGCTCACACAGACAACTACACATCCATCCCCAGAGCCGGAGAAAGGCAGTGCCATGCCAACCTTCATGCCGCCCCAGGAATCCGCTCCGGCCATAACTCCACTCCGAGCAGCCCACAGCCGACCGGGCCTCTCCCAAAGGCCTTGTTTACCGAAGGGTCAGAGGGCATTTCCCGTAAACCGAGGCCCAGGCCCCACGCTTTTGTCCCGTTTTATGCTTTCACAGTAATAAACTCCTGTCCGGTAAGTTATGGGGTTTTCTCACCACCACGTGACCGCAGCTGTCAGGTGAGACTGCCCCTTGTCAGGATGGTCTCCAAGAGGGGAAATGGATGTGCCCCCAACGGGACCAGGTTTTGTTCCGGTCCGTTGGCAAAGGAGCCTGTTTCCTCGGAAACCGGGCCTGGGGCCTCTGGCCAGGAGCATCCCCTCCTGTCCTCTCTGGGCAGCAGTCTGACGCTTCTGTCTGAGGAAGACAGGCGACTGGCGTCCCAGCAGGAAAAGGACACAGAAATGTTGTCAAACGGGGCAGGACAGACATATTCAAGTCAAATGTGCCCAGTGGCCCGGCCAGCATGATTCAGTGGTCAAGTGTTGACCTATAAACCAAGAGGTCATGATTCCGAGTCAGGGCACATGCCCAGGTTGTGTGGTCTTAATCCCTAGTGTGAGGTGTGCAGGAGGCAGATGATCAACAATTCTCCATCATCATTGATGTTTTCTTTTCTCTCTTCCTCTCCCTTCCTACCTGAATGCAACAAACATCTATATATATATATATATATATATATATATATATATATATATATATATGCCTAAGTGATCATCTAACCGGTGGCTATGACACGCACTTACCACCAGGGGGCAGACACTCAATGTGGTAGCTACCGAGCTGCAGTGAATCATCCTCTTGCAATCTGGGACCCCAATCACTCCTCAGGTACCCTTGGAGCCACAGCATCCCGCCCCCCCCGCCCCAGGTGTGGCCAGCCAGGGGGGGGGGGGGGATCGTGGGAGGTTCCCACTCCCGCCAGCCACCTTCTAATTAATTTCCTCATAGTGTGCACGAATCTGTGCACCAGGTCACTAGTAGATTATTTAAAAAAAAAAAAAAAAAAAGAAAGAAAGAAAGACATGTGCACAGTAAGGTCAGAGACATAACAAGCCAAAAGCCTGAGCAAACACTTCTCTGAATAAACAGAGGTAATGGGAGGGAGAGAGAAAAAAAGACACAAGTTCCATGATGCAAACTAAAAATACTTCACCCACAAAACGCATATTGATCCCCTTACTTCACATTTCTTGAGAAATGAATATTCCTATCAGTAAGACACGTGGTACTAGAGGTGCAACACAGGGACGTGGGCTTAAAACCGAGATCACGAAGACTTTAAAAGGGAAGTAGAAAAAGATGTCCTGTGCACGGCTGCCGACGGGAGGCATTCTGTGGACCTCACCCTTTGCACGTATTTCTCAGCCCCACAAGAGAAGGCGCGGGCTCAGGAAACTGCATTGATACCACTGTCCCTATGAGCTGGTTTCGGATTCCGAGTAGTCTGGGGTGCTGCCTGGATCACCACCTAACACACACACATACACACTGTTCAGGCCCGTCTCATAGATCGAGAATAACCCACTTCCTCACATTTGGAATAAATGGAACGTGGGTCTGTTTTACAATTTCCTCTGTGGTTAAAGCACCTGGGGAACACAGCAAAGACCACCCTGGTCACCAAAGGAATTACCGGCTCCTCCCACACCCCCTTGGAGAGACCCCTGTAGGGCCTCCCTCAGCCAGAGCCCTGGCCAGGGAGCCCTGGCTCATTCTCAGGATGGCATCCGGGGCCCACTCGTCCCTGTGAGGCTCTGACAACGGGTTCACCTTCAGGACTCAGAGGATGAAGAGGACGAACATCCTGCTGTTCATTCATCCAATCATCTCTGGTGGGATGCCCATTCTCCGCAGCCCACGCCAAGGCTCCAAAGACCGAGGGGCTTCCCAGGGGCAGGTACATCTCCGCCCGGTAAACAGCACCTGCTGCGGCCCACGTGCCTCCCCAGCCATTCTTATAAGCAGCTTCTCCTGAAGGTCCTCAGTGAGTCATCCAGGGGACGCTGAGCCGTGAACTACGTTCAGCAGCTGCCCTGGCCTTTATACTCAAAACCATGAGCCACCACAGGAGAGCCCGGCAAGCTTCTCTGATGAAGAAGGAAATGTCATAAAGGCGAGAGATACACAGGAAAGTGCGACTCCATGAACACAGCAGAAAAGCATGTCAAGGAAATGGAACTTGGCAATATTATATCAATAACAGACTTTGGATTTAAAGAAAAATGGCTGACTTTGGTGATAGTTCGGTAGGGTTCTGTTAGTATACATTGTATTGCATTCAGGATGGGGTTATTATGATATTAATAAACTATTCCCAAGCTCTTCCCAGGCACCAGGCACTGATCTGGATCTAGACAAACTCAGTTCGTGCACACAAAGCAGACCACTCTCACCCGGTGGCATGCTGTATCCACACAAAGGATGAAGCAACTGGGTCTGGGGGAGGCAACGTGGGGGCCTAAGCCCCAGGCAGCGAGTGAGGGCCCCGGGGCCACAGCTGGGTCTGACAGACTCACACATGCTTTTTTTGCACAATTTAGCAAA